TCGGGTTGCTTAGTAATATGGTAAATACTCTATAAAGGTTAGCTGTGATTATGCATATTTAGGAATTTTAGGGTTTGCAAAGCTCTCTTTCTTGCCTCTCCATCCTTGACACTCACACACTTGTTACACATTTCCTTGTAATTCACATGCAATTAAACCACGGACTGTCCTGTTGCTGGGTGCCTCACGTAGCTGCCTTAATCCTGAAACTCTGGTTCAGTTAGGAGAGTGATACTGCCCAGGATGCATGAGGCTGAAGGCTCAGCTCAGTCTTCAAGAGGGGAGAGGGTGGACCTGCTGGCCCTGGAGGCATGGCGTGAGCTCAGTTCTGCATGCCCTGGAGAGCTTTGGCAGCCCCTCTGATTAGGGTGACCATATGATTTACAGTGCTACCATAGTCTCCCCTTATCCTGGGTTTCACTGTCCGCGGTTTCAGTTACCCGCAGGCACCATGGTCCGAAAATATTAAATGAAAAATTCCAGAAATAAACAATTCATGTTTTAAATTGCATGCCATTCTGAGTAGCGAAGGAAGTCTCGCGCTGTCTTGCTCTGTCCCACCCAGGACATGCATATAACACAAGAGTAGTGATGCCGGCAATTCAGACATGCCAAAGAGAAGTCATAAGTGCTTCTTTTAAGTGACAAGATGAAAGTTCTCCATTCAACAAGGAAAGAAAAAACTCATACCCTGAGGTTGCGAAGATCTCTGGTAACTTTTATTATAGTATATTATTATAATTGTTCTATTTTATTATAGTTATTGTTGTTAATCTTTTACTATGCCTAATTTATAAATTAAACTTTATCATAGGTATGTATGTGTAGGAAAAAACGTAGTATGTTAGGGTTTGGTCTTATCCATGGTTTCAGGCACCCACTAGGGGTCTTGGAACGAATCCCCCTCGATAAGGAGGGCCTACTGTATTAAATAACTAGTCCGCGGCAGCAGGCCAGAGCCAGGCCCGCACTGGGCAGCCAGCCTGTGTGGCCACCTGGCCTGTGAGAGCCCGTCTTCCTTCCCACACCGCAGTCGTGGCCTCGAGTGGCTCCGCCTGACCCTGGCCCTCTGCCGTCCGACCGAGGCACCCCTTCTATCGCGCACAGGCACACAGGCGGGACTCCAGGACAGACTCTGCTTCAGGGCTGGGTTTCCTCTGTGCCATCCCTGAGACAAGCAGAGAGGAAGGGAAAACAAGGGATGAAGAGCAGGCAGAGATCACCAGGCACAGGCGGGCATGGCGGCTGGAGCTCCCGGTCAGACGAGGGTCCCGCCGGGAGGCCACTGGACGCGGGGCAAGGAGGAGACTTCCAGGAGTCAGAGGTTCCCAGGAGCGATGGGTCTGAAATGGTGTCTGAGGAGGATCAGGGTTTGGTAAGGAAGAGAAGGAACAGTGCATGTGTGAGGTAGGCACAGAAATGGGCTAGGCCTGGGGCAGAGCCCAGAGCAGCTATTTGGTTGCAGTGGAAAATCCCAACCAGAAGCAAGAATTTCGTTCAACAAATATTTATGGCACCTACTCAGTGCAAAGAGGAGGGCCAGGCCAGGCTGAGTCACTGGACGGCCCTGTCCTGGCACCGTGGCTCGAGGGCCGCTGGAGTGGACGAGGGGCTAAGAGAGGGTGCCGGGACCAGCGGGTGCTGTGCAGCTCTGCCTGCCTCACTCATCTACTGTTCACGCAATCCTTTCCTCTACCTCTTCATCGTCGGGATGTGTCACCAGGTGACTTCTGGCTTCATTGACCTGCTGTCCCATTGTCCTGTTTTGTCACAGGGTCTTTGTCTCAATGTGGTTTGCTGGCCCTACCCTCTCATGCCCCACTGTCCCAGCACATATGGCCCAAAGGCCCAGAAGTAGCACCAAAGCATCCTCCAATTCTAGATTCAGGCTTTGGCCCCCTTGCCTTTGAGCTGTCCATTATGCGCCCCCAAGATCCTGGGCGGGCAGCTGGTACCAAGCAGAATGACCCCACAGAGGGTTGGTAAAAGCACTAGCCTGCTGGGGTGGGAGCAGCCTTCTGTGGCCATTCCCCAGGAAATGGCACCCTGAAAGGTCAATGCAGAAGTGGGCTGCTTCTGAGGTGCTAGCCTAAGGACGCCTCGTGTTTGCAGAGCTCTTTGCAGCCTGCAAAGCACTGTCACAGCTAATCCTTACAGAAACCCCTGGGTCACAGTGATCCCATGGTACAGAGGAGGAAACTGAGGCTCAGGGAGGTTAAGTGGCCCGCCCAAGCTCAGCAGCTAAGTGGGAGAACCTGGACTCAGACCCAGTCCTCCCTGATTCCACACTCTTCACACTAGATCAAGATCCTCTCTCACTCTTCACTGAACATCAAGTCCCCAGGATGGGTTGGCAACTGCCTCCCTGCCTAAGGCAGCCACCGCTGCTTATTTATGTCCCAGCCCCCACCACGTTCTGCAGGCATTTCCTCCTTTGTGTTCCCTCAGTTACTGTCACTAGCCCCAGTGTGCCACCTGCCCTTTGCCTGGAGGGTCCTCTCCCATTTTCTGCTTGCAGCCAGTCCCTACTCTTTCTTCAAGAAATGCTACCTCCTCTGTGAAGCCCTCCCTGTCATGACCCAGCATAAACCTACTCTCTCTGGGCCCCTGCATCTCTCTGGCCCTGCATCTCTGTGTGCTATGATGTTGACCCACTAAATGGTCATTAACCACTTGTGCATCTGTGCCCTCCACTCCCCACACCAGCCCAGGAGCACTGCCCCTCCTTCTTCTCAGAAGCTGTTGAAGGAGGGGATGAATGAATGAATGAAGCCCAGAGAGTCTGGTCTTGTGTCATTAAGAAGGAACTTGCATCAGGAGGGTATCTTGTCATCTTGAGAAGCTAGAGAAGCCCAGGCCAGGAGAGTGACTTCACTGGCCATTGAGCCACCAAGGGTCACATGTCCTCCTCACTTTTAGGCCTCCCCCGTGAGGACATTACTCAGCAACCCCTCGGCTCCACCCACTCCTCGTTGTTTCACTCAAGGAAGGGACAGCTCATGGAGTCATCTTTCCCGCCTCCGTTCTTATTTTCCACTTTCCATGGAATCTCCCTAGAGCCACTTCCTCTTCACCCCTGTTTCTATCCCCTGCCCCCCAGAGAAGCCACCCTGGGTCCTCCCTCAGACCTCGCTGCCTTCAAGGGAATAGTCACGCCTGAACCAGTGACTCACTCTGACCTTTGGGGCCCTATTGGTGAGGCCAATGGCGCCAGTAGTCCTCCTGCCCTCCTTCCCGCAGGCGGAGGGCCAACACCCCAGCCCTCCCTTCTGTAGAACCAGCCCACCCTTACGTGGAACCCTCGGAACACAGCTCCAGGGAGCCCCAGGAGAAGGCTGCCTCGGCTGTTGTCCAGACTTTCTGGGCATCAGAGCCGTGGTCTGAGTAGCCTCAGACGCCCCTACCTGTACAGTCGCTGCTTTCTGCCCTCCAGGGTGCTTGACATTCTACCATTAGAATCCATTCCGTTGATGAAGCCCAAGCCTTCGGGTACCTTCCTGGGAAGGCCAGCTGATCTAGTTTGGTTGTTTACATCTCCATGAGGAGCCAGTTGGCAGAGCTGGAGCCTACTGGAAAGGGCGGGTCTGGAGGAGGGCACTGGCTCCTGGGCATGGACGATATTTACCTCTGAGAGGAAGGAAATGAAAGCTTGACCTCCCAGTCCTGCCTTGGGGCACCCCCAGATGGTCCTTTCGGGGACGAGGGCAGGGCATGATGTGGTTGGCACTGGAGGGGTTCACCTGGGCTGCTCAGCCTCTGTGCACAAGGAGGCTCCTGAGCCCACACCTTCTGGGTATAAGTGGAGGCAGGAAGCAAGGCTGGCCTGGGGCTCCTCAAGCCACAGCCTCCCCCAGGCGGCCTCCGTCTCCCACTCCCTCACACCCCCACCCTTCCTTGAATCCATGTCCCAACCCCAGGAAGTGCTGGCACAGGGCACTGGCGACTGACTCACCCGCATGGATGACAGCCGCCCCAACCGCACTTGCACCCGCCACATCTGTTTCTCTTCACGCCTGCTCAAGTCTCCAGCCAGCTGGGCGCTGCTCCAGCTGAGGGGAGGATGACCCTTCTCACCCAGGCCGGGGCTTCTGCACCACTGGTCCCAGTTGCTCAGGGCACTCATCAGAGAATTCTTCCACAAAGTGTGTGGATACCGTGCTCCACCTGGCACCTCCTAACAGCTCTCCCCACGCCACTCTTGTAGCCAGAGTGGGACTTTTCAAAGGCAAGCGTGGCCACGTAGCACTCCTGCCTAGCATCTTTCAGAGTCTGCCCATTGCCCTGGCACGAAGGCATTGCTCTGCAGCCTGGCGTTCAGGGCCTCCAAGGTCAGGCAGCCAGGACGTGATCTGTCCTCTACGTCTTTCCTCTCGCTTGCCCTCTCCTCCATCTACCCGGAATACTCACAACTCCCTGAAAAGGCTCTGCTCTGTCACCTGCTTCACTCCACACTCTTCCCACCCCTGGCCATGCCTTTCCCTTCCTTTCCCGTCTGGCTCCTACATCCTTGAAGCATATGCCCTCTCGGCCCTTCCCGACCTCCCAGCAAGGTAAGAGGTTTCCTAACACCCACCAAGGGGCTGGCACAGCTCTTAGGCAGGCAGGAACCGCATTCCAGCACTGTGTCGGGAGCACCGTGGGCCATGTGTGCCGCCTGCAGGATCCGCGCAGCCCACCGCGGCCTCCCACTGGGCCTGCTATTGCTGGCCTGCTTGTGAGGTGGCAGAGACAAAGCTAAGGGAAGTCATGAGGACTGAAAGTTGGTGGCCACGAGACCTGGATGCCCGAAGGATTTCAACCCCTCCAAGAAAAGTGCAAGAGGCGTCTGGATACTGTCTGGGGGACCCTCATTACACGGACCCCTGACCAACCCCTCCCTCCTCACCCATCCCCAGCCTGGCGGGGGTCACTAAGCAGGAAATTACCTGGAGGCTCCCAACTTGAGGAGAGACCTCCTCTGTGCCCACCCCCAAGACTTTCCCAAACCACCCCCCCCCCAATCTTCCCTCTGCCCCTCTTCTAAGGGCAAAAAGGAGGCCCAGCTGAGCCCAAAGGGACAATTCCCTGGCTCCCCACTGTCTGAGGCTTGTGGCTCCAGGAGGGGCCCTAGAGACTGAGGGTGGGAAAAGCAGTCTGATGGCCTAGGACCAAGAAGGAGAAAGACCACCAACAATGTCTGGCAGGGCTGGGGTGGGGGCAGTTATGCTTAGAACAGGGACTCTGGAGTCAGACTCATCTGATTCAACTCCTAGCACTGGCCCTGGGTGGGACCCCCTCCTCACCTGCAACACAGGCTAAACGATGGCGCCCGTAAAGTGCTCAGCACAGAGCCTGGGCCAAGAGAAGTGCTCAGCAAACGCAGCCACTCCGAATAGAGGAATAGATGGGGACAGAGCTGCCCAGGGCCTGGGGACTGGGAGGAGGCCCCACCCCCTCTTCAGGCTGCTGCCGTCCAACAGCAAGGATGGACCCACACACCTCATACCTCTGACATGCCCTGTGGCAGAATCAGTGGTTCACGGGTGGAAGGGGTGGCCACACTTACCCACCAGACCCAGAAAGCACATGCTCAACCCCAACTCCTGACCAGCCACAAAGCAGAGGAAAGACAGTCAGGGCCACGTGGCCAGCCCATTGGCTCATCCCCTTAGACACTCTCCCCACTGCCCAGGCACGCCAGGCTCCTAGCCCTTGACTTTCCCTCTCTGTCCTGCCCTCTCCTCCCTCCCCTTAGTGTCCCCTGAAGCTGGTCTCTGTTCCCCGCTGAGCACACTTGCCTGCCTTCCTTCCTTCTGGCTGGTGAGGCCGGTGCCCTTCGGATGGTGTGGAGCTGCCGAGACCGTGATGGCTTGACGTCTCATGGTCTTACTTGCAAAGGCCAAAGTATTCCATGACCAGTTGGGTTCCTCAAAGCCATGGTCCAGTATTGGAGGAGGGGCTTTTCCCTTGTACACCCACCCCATCCCCACCGCCCATGGTCCTCCCAGCCGGGGAGTCAGGAAGGGGAAGGGACGAACATAGAGTGCAGCACTCAGCACAGTTACATCTGAGGCTGAGCTCTTCACTTACTAGCTGGGTGGCCTCTCTGTGAACTGGGGACAGCCCCCTCCAGGATGGACACACAGCCAGGAGGCACGTGAGAGGGAGGAGTACCCATTCCCCTGTGGGGTGGCTATTAGGAGGCCTGAAGGGCAGAAAGGGAGTCTGTCCTTTCCGTGCTCAGAACCAGGTGAAACTGAGCTGCCAACCCTGCCCGAAGGGACAGAACCGAGCCAGGCAGCAGTGGACGTAGTGCCCAGACGGAGGTCACAGGGTGAGGACAACACTGAGAGCTCTTGTCCCAAAAGACAGACCCAAGAAGATACAATCTTTTAATTATATGCTCAGGCTTCCTGGGCTGCTGGCCAGGGTACATCCAACCCTTGGCCTCCTCCACAGGCCCAGCAGGGACGCTGCCTCCCTCTGCCCTGACCCTTTCTGGGGACCGAGGGGTCCGGGGTCCCCAGGACAGAGGAAAGGAGGCAGGAGACCCAGCAGGAGCTGGACTTGGCGCTCTTGTCTCTGGAGGAGTGGGTGGGGGTGAGGGGAGAGCAATGGGGTCCAGATCAACTCAGGACTCCCCGCACAACATACCCACTCAGGCTCTGCCAAGACCCGGGTGGGGCTGGGGATGGGAGCAGCATCAATCCTGTCCCCTGGGACATCCAAAGCCTCTGGTCCAGGTTCTCTGAAGGCCAATTCGTTGGCCTGCTGTAGCCAGGCAGGCTAAGAAGTGCTTGAAGCAGCCTGCACAAGACAACGGGAGTGCGGGCTCTGTGGTTGACTAGAGCGGGGAGCTCATCCTCTCCCACTCAAGGTACTCAGAATGTTTTTTTAATGTACTATTTTTGCTGGACAAAAAAAAAGTGTCAGGCCTGTCCAGGCCACAACTGCCGGCTTGTGACCCCTTCAGCTGGTTTCCCCTTTATCTCCAGAGGATCCCAGCACCGATGCCATCAGCCCCACCTGAGTCCAGGCGAGCAGGAGTCACCTCTGGTGGGGGTCCCACAGGGGTGGGAGGGGCACCACCCTTCCGAAGAGGAGCTTTTCTGTGCAGCGTCTCTCAAGTCAGGCAACAACTCTGGGAGGAGTATTTTTTAACCCCTATTTTGCTAGCGAGGGAACAGACTCTACGTGAGCCTTGATGAGAGGACAGGACTGCGGACCGCGAGGGCTGGATTTGGCCGCTTCGGGCTTGCTGCCTCTCAGAGGAAACTCAGCCAAGCAGCTTGGATCCGTAGAGCAGTTGTGCGTTTACAAAGGGCTTTCTCACATCAAAGTGCGTCTAATACCGTGGTTTACAGATGGGAAATCCAGTTTACGGCGACAGTAACACCTCAGCGCAAACCTGGCAGGGGGAAGACTAGAGGCCAAGTTCTAGGCTCCGTCCATCTCCACCAGCCAGGCCTGCCCTGTGCAGAGGCACCCACCCTGCCGGGGAGCCCCAACTCTCAGCCTAGGTCCCTGCCCAGGACAGTTCACTCTGCACAGAGAAAAGGCTTTGGCTACTAGCCAGCTGACTGTAGCCTCCCCAACCCCACTCCAGCCAGCCAACATACTTGGGAGGTGAGATACATACGCTGGAGCCTTTCACTGGGGGTTCAAACCCCAGCTCAGCCACCTGTTAGCTGTGTGATTTTGGGCAAGTTCTTAACCTCTCTGTGCCTCAGTTTTCTCATCTGTAGAATGAGGACAATAATATAGTACCTACGCCATAGGATAGTCATGAGAGGTATATGAGTTAACACATGTAAGGTGTTTAGGACAGTGCCTGACACATTGTAAGAGCTACATGAGTGATAGGTTTATCACTACTACTGTTATTATTATTTTCTGACCCAAGAAAGACTATGGATATCAGAGCAGGCAAAACCTGATGCCCTGGAGGAGGTTCTGTGGGAGGAGGGGAGGAGGCCTGTTATGTCACCCTCCACAGGCGGGTGGCTCACCCAGGGGGTAACATGGGGTGGAAATTACCATTAATAGTAGTTCCCTCTTGGGCCAGTCACAGACCTACAGAGCACGAGGGGGTGAGAAATTTTACTATTGTGGGAGTGAGAAATGTTACTACTGGGCAGAATTCCATTTTTAGAAACTGGGAAGTTATTTTGGGTGGAGGGTTGGTGTTTGTGATTTTTTTAACAGCCTCTGCGCTCTAACAATATGTGCGCTTCCCGCTCTTCTCTTCCCGGAAACCAGGGCACAGTGGGGAGTCTGCCATGCTGCCGTGGTTGCTAGGCAACCCCTTGGGCCTCCCACCCCAGCTGGGGCCTAGTGCAGAGCCCAGGGTGGGCTCCACGACCCCCACAAGCCCCCATTACCAGTGCCAGGGTGCACTAGCTGTCTCTGCGGCCCTCTCAGGAAGTCTAGAGAAAGCAAGCTCGTGTTTTCCTGCCTGAGCAGCAGTTCGGAGGGCAAATCAGCAGAAAAGAGCATCTCCTGCAGCTCCAGGCACGCCTCACTTTCGGGGGCTAGATGAGTTTCTTAGGGCTGCTGTTGAAAATTACCATGAACGTGGCGGCTTAAGAGAAATTTATTCTCTCAAAGTACTGGAGGCCAGAAGTCCAAAATCAGTATCACTGGGCCCAAAGCAAGGGGTCAGTAGGGCTCTGCTCCCTCCAGAGGCTTTAAGGGAGATCTGTTCCTTGCCCCTTGCAGCTTCTGGTGGCGGCTGGCATCCCTCGGCTCGTGGCAGCATCACTGCAGTCTCTGCCTCTCTGGTCACGTTGCCTTCTCCACCCCTATTTGTGTCACAGCTCCCTCTGCCTCTCTCTTGTGAGGACACTTGTGATTGCATTTTGGACCTAGCTGGATAATCCAAAAGCATCGCCCCATCTGAAGATTCTTAACTTAATCTTACATCTGCTAAGACCTTTCTTCCATATAAGGTAACATTTATAGATGCCAAGGGGTTAGGATCCGCCATCTTTGGGGATCATCCTTCAGTCTGCTATTCAGCCAAGCCAATGTCTTCTCCCAACAAAACCAGACAGCGGGTCACCACTAGCCTCCTGGCATTCTGGCCTGTCACTCTCTACCTGGAACCACACACTAGGGTGAGGACAACTGAGCACACGGTGCTGACACTGAGGCCCTGCCCATCCTGGAGGCGTCTTGTATGGCCAGGCCTGGAGCTTCTGGGAGGAGCGGGGGTGTTGGACTGCACACTCAGGCAGTGACAGCTCCCTTGAGGCCTCCAGTCACCACCACAAAAGGAAACAAGGAGCAATAGACCAGATGCCAGGACCAAACAAATTTAATAAAGAAAAGGAAAAAATAGAAAATGCTAATCCTTCAGAATCCTGGCCTCCAGAGGTAATAAAAAAAAACTTGTTGTATAAAGCAATCTTCCTTCTAGACCTTTTTCTATTCAGACAAAACCATATAATTTTTAAAAACAAAAGTGGACTTATACTATACATTCTGTTCTTCAACCTGATTTTTTCAATAAATGATATATTTTGGGCGCCTTTCATGGCAGTGCATGCAGCATTTCCTCCACTTTTCTGAAGGCTGTTGGGGATACCACTATGTGGAGGACCATGAGGAGTTACCCTATTGATGGGCATTTGGGTTGTTTCTAATTTTTCAGCTGAGACAGATGTGGTGAGATAGTTTAGTGAGATGCTAATAGCTGACTTGCTCTCATTGCTTCAGGAGGCTCACAAAGATGGGGAGGCAATTTTCTCTCTCCTTTACACCACACAATTTACCCCAAAGCAACCAAGCCTCCGGTGAAGGAAGCCAGGGTTTCCCCAGCTCCCAGGAAGAATTAATAGGCCTTTGTTTTCCAAGGCTGAGCCTCACAGAGACAAGGAACGGGATTGTTGGAGAAGGGGAGGGACTCTGTGTTTGTGGGGAGGCTTCCCTACCAGCACACAAACATCTCCTCTCAAACTGGCTTAGACAATAGAGAGAATATATTTCCTCCCTCCTGCATCAGAGAAGCCCTAAGGCTAGGTGGGATTCAGGTGCAGTTTGATCCAGAGGTTCATGATACCATCAGGCTCTGGTTCTGTTTTTTTTGTGATTCTCTCGGCTCAGTCCTGCTCTGTGGGTTATTTTTGTCCACAAAATCACTTTCCTCCTTTTAGTAAAAAAAGCTAGAGCATTTCAGGGCCCACATCCACCCATGACGCTATTCACAGGAAAAGAAAAATTTCTGTCCTAGGACTTCCAGCAATCTTCTGAGATGCATCCTGATTGGACCAGTTTAGGTCCTGTGCTCACCACCGAACCAGTCACTGTGGTGAGGAGCTGGGATGTCCTGACAAACTTAGTCTAGGTCACTTGCTCCCACTCTGGGGTTAGAGGTGCAGATGGCTTTCCCTAAGTCAGAGGGATTTTCCAATAAAAATTAGGAAGTTGCGAAAGGGGCAGTAGGAAGGAGTGGGAAGAGAGGAGGTAACCAACGGGGGTTCATGGGAGTCTTTAAGGGTGGACGGGCTCGAAGCAGCCCTGCTTAGAGGAAAAGAAATGGGTTTTCTGAACTCTGTAAACCCACACCCTGATGCCTGTAGAATTCCAAGGGGCCAGAACCCAAATCCTCGGGTATGAGGAGTAAATTCACACCAACTCCCCAGAAATGCACCCTGAGCTTCCTGGTGTGTGAGTGTGTACCCTCATTCTAGGATAAATTCCTAGAAATGGAACTGCTGGGTCAAAGAGCTGGCATGTTCTAACTTTCATAGATAATGCTCAATTGCCCTCCAGAAAGGTTTTTACCAGTTTCTCCTTCCAATAATACAGCCTATGAAAAGGCCCATTAACCCACATCTTGTCAATACTAAATATTATCCATCTTGCTAATGACTGCCATCCTGATAGATTTCATTTGGTTTTGTAAAGCTGTAAGGTAGGATGAACATCTTTTCATACACTTATTAAATAATTACAATTCCTGCATCTGAAAGGCCCAGAGGGTGGGTGGGATTCAGGTGTGGTTTGATCCAGAGGTTCATGCTATCGTCATGATATGGATTCTATGGATTATTTGCTCATGGCCTTTGTTGGTTTTTCTATTGAGTTGTTTATCTTTTCATTATTTAATTGTGACAGCTCCTTGTAGATTAGGGATACAAACCCTTTGTTTTATCTGTTGCAAATATTTTCCCCAGCTTGTCCTTTGTGTTTTGACTTCGTATACAGAGCTTTTGTTGTCCAGAACTTTGCAAATTTTATGTGGTTCAGTGTATCAGGCTTTTCTGGTTTTTTGCTTAGAAAGGTTTTATCCACTCTAAAATAAAAAATGGTCACCTATGCTTTCTTTCGTGACTTCTGTGGTTTCTTTTTATATTTAAATATTTCATCTATCTGAAATTTATTTTACTGTATGATGCATGTGAAGCAGGGGTGAATTTTCTGTTTTTTCAAATGGATAGCTGATTAGGATGTCAGAACTTTGTGAGATTCCAGAATCTCCATAACTTTCCTGTGGTTCTGATTTTTGCTACCATCTTGTTTCCATGGAGTGATCAGAAGGGATTAGAAGGAACACGGCTGGTACTTATCTTCAAGCTCAAGAACAACCAGGGGAGGGGGCTGAAGGAGCCCAGGGCGCAGTTGACAGACAATGCCAGAAGGATGGGGCATGGTGCCCAGAGGAGGGGAAGCGGCTGAGCCCCTGCAGCGATGAAGCAAGGAGGGAGGGGAGAGCCATGCTCCTCTTGAGAAGAGCTCAGGGAGCAAGAGAAAGACCCCAGCAGCGTCCGCCGCTCCCCAAACCCCACGGCAGGTAGCCTTCGGTACTGTAGCCACCTGCTTTCCAATCTTTCAGCCCGGAGGCCTGGGTTCGTTAGTGTGTGTTCCTCCCACGAGTATTTATTGACTACCTGTCTGAGCCCAAGAGTCCAGCCTAGTGATGACGGAAGTTCATAAAAATAACCCTGACGCCTGTGGAGTTCAGGAATCAGGAGGCAGGAAGCCATTTTAGAAGGATTTCCTTCAGATGCGGCATTTAAAATTTTGTTCTTCAGATCTGAAGTAGTATCTCCCTGACTCTGTCGGAACATGAAACGGCTCTGTTATTAACAGTCACCGCCACCCTTTCCTTCCCTGGGAGGGCCGCACTGGGGTGTTGCCTGCCTCATTCGGGAGAGGTCAGAGGTCAGGAGCACCCTAAGGGAAGGGCACCACCATCGGCAGCCATCGTGGCCCCCACAGCAGGGGCTGGAGGTCAAAGGCTCACAAAGCAGCTGGCCCCCGTAGCTTCCACAATAGCATGTGTACCTCTCTGTCCCTAAGCATCCACATGGCTCTGGAATCGTCTTTAGGTGACCTTCCTCATTGGAAGGCACAGGTCATGCATTTTGGTGTGGTAAGCGCTCCAGGAATGGCTACATGAATGACCGAGTCAGTGATGCTAGAGAGCAGGGTGGAGAGCTGGGCTGCAGCGCTGCCCGTGGGCCCAGCCCAGCTGAGGACCACATGGGCACAGAGGCCCCCAAAAGGGAAGGGAGGCCCAAGTGCAGCCTGTCGGGGAGCATGGCCCCTTACATCTGCTTCCTTGCACACGGGGTTGGGATGGAGAAATGGCCATCACCATCCAGTCACATGCCAGGAACCCTATCTCCCCGGAGTGGGTGACCTCCACGGGCAGCTCCTCTCCGTGAGCAGCAGCCTCTCCTCCCTCGGAAGCTTCAGCCACTGCAGGCCCTGTTGGTCACCCACTTGCATTCCCTGAGCCCTTTCCCGCTGACTCACTGCAGTCCCTGCCCCGCCAAGCTTGCCGCCAGCAGCCCAGCGGAGGCCAAGGGGAGGGACGGGGAGGCCGAGGAGACTGCATCAGGATCCAGGAATGCTCTGCTGGGTGGGAGGGGGTCTACTAACTTCCCAGTTTCCGATGCTCTGAAGGGACGACCAAGAAGTGAATTGTCTGGGGACCCAAGTGGATTCCTCTGTCCTTGACTCAGTCACAGCCAGACGTTCACCAACCCCCATTTCAGAGAACTAGGCTCCCCAGCCCCCAGCCGTTCATGGCCTGCCGTGTTAGTGTGCGTTCCATGACAATTGCCTGTGACCCTGTGTGGCTGTGTGCGGTTGCCTGTGACTGTGTTCTCGTGTGCCGACAAGCGCGATTGAACATGACTGTGGTTGTCTAGAGTGTGTGGTTGTGTGGTGTGAGTCTGCGTGTGACCGTGTGCCATTCTGAATTCCTGAGCACAGCTGTGTCCAGTTGTGTGTGATTACGTGCCGACGAATGGTTGAGAGCGAATGTGTGTGGTTAAGCCTCACGGTGCGCAGTGTGTGTGAATCCGTGGGATCATATGGCATGGCCCGCTAATGCACGATCACCCATGTTACATGGGATCCTACACGGCTGCACGCTGCTGAGGGCCACAGTGTATGATGGAGCGTGTCTGTGGGTGGTTGTGTGTGGCTGGGTGGGCTTTGCGTGATTCTTCAGGACCACGTGTGTGTTCCACAGCACAGGCCCAAGGAGGTTAGGGGTCTGCGGCCCACAGTCCGTGACAGGTGAGGGGTTGCAATGTGTGTCTCTGTTGTGTGCTTGCTCTTTTTCTAAGTTCTGTGCCTGAGGAGGCTGTAATGGCTCCCACTTAGGAAAGGAAGCGGAGTTAGGCTGCGGGATGCTCTTCTGCCTGGGTCGCTGACCAGTTTTAGAGTGTTTTCTTGGAAGTCAGGCTGCACTTCAGGGCGATGTCAGCCCCGCTGAGCCCTCACAGCAGCTGGCTGCCAGTGCTGAGTCTCAGCAGGGCCCCGGCTCAGGCCCAGGGTGCCTCCCACCCATGCGGGGACACGGCCAGCTTCTCTCAGCCCTGGCCCTCTGAGCCCACCCTCCCCATTCCTAATCTGGGTGCGAAAATAACGCAGGCCCCAGCTCCCCTTCTTTCCCACTCTGAAGACAAGCGTGTGCCTTTTTAGGGGCTTACCACCAACCCCTTCAGGAAAGCAGAGAGAGCAACAAAAGCATCCCCCACGAGGGACTGACAAACGTGTCAGATGCCCATGAGCTCTTCCAGTGCTGGCCCCTGGACCACTGCCTCCACTTTTCTACCTGAGGAAGGTGGGTGAGCTTCCTGTCCGACCTGCCTTAAAGGGGCCCCAACAAGGCAAGGCCCTCACTCACCACCAGCACCCCTCCCCCAACTGAGGCAGGCCCTCTGCCTCTCTGAAGAGAGTCCAGCTCTCAAGGCCATGGCTCTGCCCAGAAATGACAGACATGATCCCTCTGACTTGTCTTCTGCAGATCTGGGTTAGGCAACAGCTGCCAGATGCGGGGGCCTCAAACTGCTTCTGCTGGGAAAGCATCTCCATGTTCAGAGTCCAGAGCATCTGCCACTGCTGGTCCTGGGCCAGGCTGAGGACGAGTGGTGTGGTACAGAGTCAGCAGGAGACTGAAACACCCCAAAGGGAGAAAGTTCCGGAAACAGGGGTAGAGGGAAAAAAGAATTGAGAGTAGGGAACCAGAGCACCCTCCATAGAGAACTGGGCCAGGGCTAAGGCAAGTGTGCCCTTCCAACACCAGTGGGTCCCCAGACCCAGGTGGGAGAGCTGTTGTAGAGGAAACCTCTGGACTGCCAGCTCAGGGTACCTGGGTTCTATCCTAACTCTGCCATCCAGCAGCTGTGTGACCAGGAGAAGCCGCTTTCCCTCTCTGGGCTTCAGTTTATCTACTTTGAAGGCTGAAACAACAGAGGAAATGAAATATGTAAAGCACAGAGCCCAGATGCGTGAGCAGGTGCTGACAGACTTCCTTGTCACGCACCCAAAAGACAGTTTTTGAGCCCTTCCCGGGAGTCTAAGGCCCCTCCCAGCGCAGATGGTCTACGTCTCTGAAAGAATCCATGTTTTCTTCCCCCATTAGGACCAGCAGGGCCCACCACACCCAGGTCCTAGACGCTCTGCTCAGAGTTGGGTGGAGGGTTGGGGAGCCAGAGAGGAGTTGACAGTAAGAAGGGAAGAAAGCAGGGGTGAAGAGAGGTGGGCTAACGTGGCTACCCACAGCAGGGCCTGACCCTGATGCCTGCCAAGGCTCTTCCTGCACCTGCCTGACGTACTCATCTCACCTGCGCCTGCTCCCTCCCTTCCCAACGACCACACATCCCTGGGGCCACAGCCCTGGACTCAGAGCATCTGGTTGGTGCTGGGGCTCAACATCCGCGGAGCATCTAAGCTAAATTCAACACCCTAAGCCCAACAAGCTAAGCACCAGAGGCTAGAAAAATTAGTAAGACACAGGCCTCACCTTCCAAGAACTTTTAACTACAACAGTAAGAACACCTATTGATTCTACTAGTTAAGATCACATGGCAAATGCAACTGCTGTCAACGTTCAGACAGATGATATAAATGGCTGAAGCAACCTGGCAGAAGGCAGTAGGGCATGGTGGGGTCTGAGGACCAATTGTGGACCAACATATCCTTTTTCAGAATGGGCCAAAGAAAAGACAACTGCTTCTGGCCATCTTTTATGACATTTTCTGAGTTCTTGCTAAGTGCCAGTCACTGTGTGAAGTGCTTTCGTGCATTCCTTCACTGAATTCTCTCAAGAATTCTATGAGACAGCAATTAGTACTGTAGGAGACAGACTCTAAGGTGGTCCCCATAATCCCTGTCTCCTCATGTTCATGCCTTTCTGTAATCCCTTCCTCTTGAGGGTGGACAGGAACAGTGACTAGTTTCCAACCAGTAGAATAACCAATATGCCAATATCTAACCCATATTAGCAAAGGTGGGAGCACGTTGCTCCCATGATTACATTATGTTATAAAAGACCCCGTCTCGCTGGCAGGTCAGTGCTAGAGACTTCCTCTCCTGCTAGCTCTGGAGAAGTGAGCTGCCATGTTCCGAGAGGACCGATGGAGAGGGCCTCCTAGCAAGGAACTGTGGGTGGCCTCTAGGAACTGAGCAGCCCCTAGCTGACAGCCAGCAAGAAGATTTCAGTCCTACAGCCACAAGGAGATGAATTCTGCCAACAAACTGCGTGAGCCTCCAAGTGGATCCATCCCCACGGGAGCCTCTGGGTAGAACTCAGCCATGGTGACACCTGGACCGCAGCCTTGCAGAGGACCCAGCTAAGCTGCACCCAGACTCCGGGCCCACAGACTTTATGAATAACAAATGTGTGTGGTTTTAAGCTGCTAAGTTTATGATAATGTGTTATGAAGCAATAGAAAACTAATATAAGTGTTATCCCCATCTTAGAGATGAGGGGTCTAAAGCCCAGAGACTGAGCAGAGTCACACAATTAGTATGAGGCACAGCAGGGACCAGAGCCCCATCTCCAGACCCCTCAGGCTGATGTTCTCGCCAGGCCCCAGCCTGCTGTGCTGGTCATTGTTCTCTCGGTGGCCACCTACATATGAGAAGAGGAATCTTACAAGGGCTATTGGAGAGATGAAGGTTACAGAACGAGGAGGGATGGGATGTGCTGGAAGCATGTGGTGGGGCAGCCAGCCCAGGCTGAGGGCCAGGGACAATCTCCTTTAGGAAGTAACAGGCAAGTCCCCTGGGTATGGGCCTAGTGAAGAGTCAGCAACTTTGCATTGCAAGTGAGTGAGTGAGTGAGTGGGTGAGTGAGTGAGTGGGCGAGCTTTCCTGGTCTAGGATCCCCAGGGGAGAGGACTCTCCAAGCAATGTGAAATCACCCTGTTTCTGTGCACTGGCTTCTAAGACACCTTGTCCCAAAGACCCAGGGCCTCTATGACTGGCCTGTGATGCCCAAGACCTTGGAGCACCACTTCCTGGATTCGTCATGGGTGGCTGGGGTAAGGGTGGGAGTTGCTTAGCTCTCACTCTCAGTCACTAAACATCCCCAGACATCTGGCAAGGGAAGAATTACAGGTGGGATGGGAGGAAACACAGGCAGATGGGAGGGCAGGGGGCGGGGGTGAGGGTATGAGCAGACCCAGAGAAAAGAGCAGGAATTAGAAAGGGGACACCCCCCCCCATGGGCCCAGCTGCAGTCTGTGATGGCTGAGCAGACCCAGGGGTCTTTGCAAATGAGCTGGCAGGATGTCATGGATCAGGCAGGGTCCCAGCAGGAGGCAGACAGCACACTTGACTTGGGCCATTTGAGGAGCATTTGATAAAGAGATTATTTTCAAAGGTAAGGGCAGGGTGTAGGAGAGGATGCAGGAGCCTGGACCAATAGCAGCAGTCCAGTCTACTACTAGACCTGATGGGGCCAGAGGAGGGGACCAGAGCTGGTCTAAGTGGAGGCGGCCACCTGAGGAGAGCTGCAGCCTCAGTTGAGGGCTGCAGCCAGATCATGGCAACCCCACAGCGGGTGTCAGGGGAATAACTGCCCTGCACTCTCTCTCCTCTCTGCCTCCCATATGCTGTGGGGGCTCTGCACGGAACAAGGTGGAGAGTAAGGGCACCCACTGAGGCAGTCCCCACTGGCCAGCCTCCAGGGCACAGCGCAGGGTGGAGAAGTTGGGGAGCAGACCTGGAAGTGAGAAGAGGCCCAATCCCGACTCTACCTCTTCCCAGCTGGGGACTCTGGACGAGCCACTCAACCTCCTCGGGTCTCAGTTTCCTCCTCTGTAAAAGAGGGGTGGCAAGCATGCTTACGCTCAGCTGTTCCGAGTGGGGAATGCAATAATATATTTAAAGACTCCAGATTGAGCCCCACATGCATTGGCTGGCTCCCAGCACTTGGTTTCTAAGAGTCGGCAACAAGAACACAAAATCGGGGCTACTGAGAAGCCAGACGCCAGCCCAGAAACACTGAACATGTGAACAATGAATGCACTGAGGAGAGGCCGGCTCAGCAGGTCTTAGAGTCGCTGCCAGGATGGGAACCCAGACACCCTCTCTCCCTCTGCAGGGCCCTTAGGGGCACACACACTCATACCCGCTCCCAACTTGCAGCTGCGGGAGAGTGGCACCATGCCTCTTAGCCCCCCTGGAGAGAGGCAGCAGCAGGTCTGTGCAGAGCCCGGGGTCTGTACTCAGAGCATGTCTGAGGGGGGCAGGGGCAGGCGGCAGGCCTAGGGCCCAGCTCTGCCTGGCATCATGGGCCCGGCTGGAGGGACACTCCCTGTGTGGAAGACCTCCCATGTACCCTAGACTCGTGCCATTTAGGTGGGACCCCGGTAGCAACAGGTGGAGGGGAGCTTACCTCCCCACAGGGCACCCAGGGCAGGCCCCTGCCCCTGGATGTCCACTGGCCTAGAGCCCGAACAGCCCAGGCCCTGCCTAGGACAGCCCTCGGAGCCTCAAGGACAGACTCCAGCCCCCCACCCCCGAACCCCCTCTGCCTGTGACATCACTTCAGTGCCCAGAACAAAGGCCCCTGGTGAGACCCGCAAACCTCTGCCCTTTATGTTTCTATCACCCACATCTAAAGTTCACAGGAAGAGGGTTTTCACAGCATCGAGTCAAAACGGCACTGCACACTGCGGTCAGTTTTTTCGAAAGAAAGGAAGCCAAGATGGATCAAAGAAAAGCAGGTGCAGCAGATTAAGGCCCAGCCCGGGCCGGCAGGGGCGTAGGGAAGGGTGTGAGTGCCCCCGGGAGGAGGCCTGTGCGCTCCCAGCTCTCCAGGGAGCGGGAGGCAGAGAGGTGGGGTAGGGTGCGGCTCAGCCTCCCCTGGGAGAAATCACCGAGGGACAGAAGAGACAGCGTGGCCTCTACTGCTTTTTAGGTTGAGAGATGACAGCCCAGGGCCTGTGCCGTGAAAGGACCAAGCACAGAGGAACAGGGCTCACCGTGCCACCTGGGAGGAGCACAGCCCTGGCCAGCACCGGCTCCCGTCCCTCTCCAGCTCCTCTGCCCGTGGAGGCCCTCGAGATAAATCCAGCCAGCCTCCCTCTCCTGCACAGCCGAGCCCTCACCTGCTCCTGCCTGGACCCAACAACAGTCTCCTGCCTGTTCGCCCACCTGGGTCCATGGTGTCGAACTCCAGCCTCCATGCTGGATTGGCAAGTTACCTTTTTCTAAGCCACATAGTCGCCAGTGTTCTTTATGTCTCAGGTGCATCCCAGAGCTCGAAATGGAAACACGAAGTTTCTGTATCTCCTATGACACTGTGATTAAATTGACAAAGTTGCTCTTAAAAATGTGGGCTATAAAATTATTTATTTTACTGTTCCTGTTTTCCTTTTGCTTCATTTTTCTGGCTTCTTTTTCTTCTATTTTATCTTGTATTGAATGAATCCTTTTTAAAAAAGCTTTGTGTTTGTGTGTGTGAGGAATGTTGGCCCTGAGCTAACATCTGTGCCAATCTTCCTCTTTTTTCTTGAGGAAGATCGTTGCTGAGCTAACATCTGTTCCCATCTTCCTCTATTCTACGTGGGATGCCGCCACAGCATGGCTTGATGAGTAGTGCTAGGTCCACGCCCAGGATCTGAACCTGCCAACCCCAGGCCGCCAAAGCAGAGTGCACAAACTTAACCACTATGCCACTGGACTGGCCCCAAAAAGCTTTTTTTTTTTAAGTTGTAAAATGTTCCAAACATTTGGAAAAGCACAGGGATTATATAATGAACATCCACCAGCTTTATCAATTCTTAACATATTGACACATTTTTGGGTTTTTTCTTTTTCTTGTGGTAAAACATACTAACATAAAATTTACTGTTTCAACCCTTTCAATTTCTTTTAGAAACGACATTATACACACAAAGGGCCCTGTGACCTCTCTCCTTTGCCCGTCTCTTCTTCCCCAGAGGTAACCACTCTTCTGAACCTGATCCTCCTATAGAAGTGACCCCTGTGACATGTGTTTCACAATGAAGACCACCCATCCAGTGGAGAGGGACATAAGGCCCCAGGTAAAACCCCCCGGCTATCCCCAACCTTAAACTCACTCTCCCGGAAGTGACCATTGTTAAAACTTTCTATGAACATTTCCGGATTTTTTTTATACATTTGAATTATGTTAGCTTGTTTTCTTCTTTGACACAAATGAACTTACACTATGTAGATTGTTCTGCAATTTGCCTTTTGTTTCGTTATTGCTGTGCCTTGGGCATTTTTCCCTGGGAGGACTAATAAATCTACCATATTGCTTTTAACAGCTGCATGGGATTCTACTTTATTCAGTAGTTTCCCACGGATGGGCATTTAGGTGGTTTCCAGCTACTTAGTTATTCTCAACAAGTCTGCACTGAACATTCTTTTTTTTTTTTTTGGTGAGGAAGATTTGTCCTGAGCTAACATTCGTTGCCAATCTTCCTCTTTTTGCTTGAGGAAGATTGTCCCTGAGCTAACGTCTGTGCCCATCTTCCTCTATTTTGTATGTGGGACGCTGCCACAGCATGCCTTGACGAGTGGTGTGTAGATCCATACCCAGGATCCGAAGCTGCAAACCCCAGGCCACTGAAGCAGACTGCGCAAGCTTAACCATTACGCCACTGGGCTGGCCGCCAAACACTCTTGACACATATTTTTACTTACTTGTGGGAATACTGTATATCTGTACAATAAATACCTAGAAGTGGAGTTTCTGGATAAGAAGATATTGAGCATTTGATGTCTTGAAAGATATTGCCACCGCCCCCCCCCCAAAATGATCAACTTAAACGCCACCCAACATATGACAGTTGTCTCCCCATGTCCTCAAGAATATCTTTTCACACCATTATCAGCCTTTTGTTATATTCTGTGAACTGTCTGCTCTTATCCTTTTCCCCAGCATTTTATGGGTTTACTTTTTAAATTTGAATCTTTGACTCACCTGGAATCAATTTTAGATGCAGTGAGATATTCTCTTCAATTACACTTATTGCTCTTCTACTCTGTCAATAGATTGAATTAAGTACCAAGATAAAGGGGAAAGCGTATCTCTCCACTGCTAACAGGCCACCAGCTACCTGATTTTGCCTCCCAACTTAGAGCTAGTCCATTTTGAGGTTCTAGTTTAAGAAACAGAAGATTGGCTCTGCCCACCCCTCTTCGTAATGGATGGACCGGACCCAGATGCTCTGCAAACATCCAGTCAATTATTCAACAAATAGGCAGCAACTGATGCAGTCACTGGAATTTCGGTTTTTTCCCGAGGAGAAGCATATTGCCAGAGGAGCAGACCGTGGCAGACTATGAACAGTCCACCCGAACCTATTCTCCTTCTTGCATTGCAATGGAGTTGAAGCAGGGCACGTGGCTGCCTAAATAGAAACAGCATTTCTCAGCCCTGTACATTCAGATGGGGGCCTAGGACTACATTCTTACCAGAGGATGATGTGAGCAAAACTGGCTTGTGCCCCGCTGGCTATAACAGTTTCAAAATATAACACAAATTCTTCGACTCTCTTCCCATCAAGAGGTGGGGGGTCTAGAACCCCTCCATTTGAACCTGAGCAGTCTTCAACCAAGAGTACAATGGGAAGAGCCAGCCCTGATGCCCTAGCAGTTAAAAGATCTGTCTTCTCTGCTTCGGCAGCCCAGGCCTGGTTGCCGGGTGCAGAACCACACCACTGGTCTGTCCGTTGCCATGCTGTGGTGGTGGCTCACACAGAAGAACTAGAAGGACCTACAACTAGAATATACAACTATGCACTTGGGCTTTGGGGAGGGGAAAAAAAGAGAGAGAGGAAGATGGGCAACAATGTTAGCTCAGGGCCAATCTTTTTAAAAACAAAGAGTACATTGGGAAGTAATGTGACTTCCGAGGCTAGGGCATAGAAGGCTATGCATCTCCCACCTTGTTCTCTGGGAACACGCACTCTTGGAGCCCTGAGCCTCCATAACAGATGCCCAACTCCCCTGAGGCCACCGAGTTGGAGAGGCCACGCCTGGGTGCACTGGTGCAGGCCCAGCTGAGCTCAGTCTCCCAGCCAAGCACCAGGTTAGCAAACATGCCTCCAGATGATTCATCCCCAACCATTTGAGTCTCCCCGAGTCATTTGAGTCTCCCCCTTCCTTTGAGCCTTCCCAGCTGAGGCCCTAGATGTTGCAGAGCAGAGAGATAAGCCATCCTCCCTGTGTTCTGTCCAAATTCCCCACATTCCTCAGAGACCTACAAAACCTGTGAGGATAATGAAATGGTTGATGTTGCCAACCCATATGCAGCAGTGACCCAGCCTCAACTATACAGATGACAATTCCTAGGGACAGCAGAGCCACAGGATGGAAGGAACCTGGGTCCCTAAAGGACCACAAGGAGCCCTCCTGCCAGCTGATAAGAAACTCACTTCAAGGGCTATGTGAGAGAGGAGTCAATGTCTTTATTCCCTAAGCCAAACAAACAAAACAGAGATACAGCAGCGAGCAAGGCCATGTTGAGGCAGCATCTCACATGCCACAACCAGAAGGACCCACAACTAAAATATACACCTATGTACTGGGGAGATTTAGGGAGAAAAAGCAGGGAAAAAAAGAAGTTAAGTAGGATGGGAGGGAGGGAGGAGGAGAAGAACATTCTGGCACCGGAAGTGGGTAGAGCATGTGCAAATGCTCCAAGTCAGGAAGGAGACAGTGAGTTTGAGAAACCGAAAAAAGTAGCCAATGTGGGCCTTGTGGGTCAGGCTAAAGATTTCAAATATGATCTCTAAGAAATGAGAATCCATGGGATCCTTCCAGCAGGAGAAGGACCCAATCAGGTTAGCTGCTGGAAGCTGTAGGGGAACAGACTGGGGGCAGGGAGACCACCAGGAAGCTGATGGAAACCCTGAGAAGTGATTACATCTGAGAGATATTTGGGAGGTGGTTGACAGGATTTGGAGGGTAAGGGGAACTTGTTGAGAGAGAGGAGTCAAGGATGAAACACCAGTGAGACGGTGTCTGGTCTATGAGTAAATTACAATGTCATGGCCAGAGGAAACCCAGCCGTGGCCAAGTTCAGAGGCAGCTCAGAGAAGGAGGAAGGGGATTGGATTCGTTAGTGGGTGCCTTTGAGCAAGCCACCTTTTACATCTTTATATCTTTGTCTATAATATGGGCACAATCCACTACACAGGGCTGCTTTAAGCAGAAGGACAGTGGCTGCGTTCATTCGCCAAAAGCCACATAGTGAGCAGTGCCTCTGATGTGTCACAGGTAGGATGAATACATAAAGTACATGGCCTGTTAGTGAAAGTGCTGAGAACAAACGAGGCAGGGACAGCAGACAGGGCAGCAGAGGTCAATGTTTAGACAGGATATTCGAGGTACAGGGTGGATCCAGGTTCTGTGGAATCTGAGGGGCGTCTCCTTTAGAGAAAGAATATAAAAAATCTTATTTTTGCAAATTTCACAAAAATACGTGGTCATGTGTATAGACGTCTGGGGCCTTGGAAGGGGCAGGTGTGAGCGAGGCGCCCAGAGCAGAAGCTTCAAGAGATTCTCAGTAAACCCACCTCCGCTTGTGAGTAACAGAACTGTGGGGAGGGGAGGCGTGCAACCGGTGTCACGAAAAGAACCTGTTTTCTGTGACTGAGGACAAGTCATTCAATTACTCTTGACTCTCAATTTCCTAATCTGTAAGTGAGGAAAACAATATCACGTCCTTATAAGGTTTTAAGGAGTAAATAAGGGCATGTGAGTAAAGTTCCTGTCTCATAGTAATAAGCAGTAGTTGTTATTTTAATTTTTATTCCTATCCCACACAGATGGAGAACCATGGTCTCAGCCTTGGGGAGGGACCAGGAAGAACCAAAATAAAAAAAGGATTGTGAGCCCCAGTGTGAGTGCTGGCTCAGTGCCTCTGGGATGCACGTGCTGTATGTGTGTTCTTTGACGTGTGGAATAGGTGTGTGGCAATGGCTCTCGTGCTATGCTCTGGGGCACAACCTATGGAGATCACACATCCAGGGAAGACCCAGCTGCCCCTACAGACATGATGTGTGAACAGGATGAGCAGAAAGCGTGGAGGCTGGGCATGCAGCTGACATTGTCTTCTTCACACAACTCTTACAACCATCCCCAGAGCCTTCTCTCGCCTGTGAACAATGGCAACTCTTGAGGAAAAACTGATTGCCTTGGTTGCAGAAACAGTCCCAAACAATAGGATCACGGTAGTGGGTATTGGACAAGTTGGTATGGTATGGCGTGTGCCAGGAGCACTCTGGGAAAGTCTCTGGCTGATGACCTTGCTCTTGTGGATAAGGGAGAAATGATGGATCTGTAGCACAGCAGCTTATTTCTTCAGACACCTAAAATTACGGCAGATAAAGATTATTCTGTGACGGCCAACTCTAAGATTGTGAT